TATCCTCAAAGTTCCTGAAATTCATTTCACAGCTCGATCTGCGTCGACACGACAACTGCCTAGAACAGCCGTCTTCCTGGTCGAATTGTTACCTTTTTAGCTCGACCTGTCTTAGTTTTCTTAAAACTGAATGAATGAAAACAAGATTCAACTTCAAAAAGTTTTGCAGAAGGCTTAGTAAAGCAATATAAGAAGCTGATGCTACAAACTCATACCATATCAAGAACAAGCACCATTTATAGTTAAACACTTCGATAACAATTCGTAAAGTGATTGATACTAAATCCATAACATTTGGATCATCCATTCCAACCTCTATATACCCAAAACAGCCAGTGAATATCAAGAAACTAATCTGTTTCTCTACAAATCTAAGCATCAGAAAAGATCAAACAAAATCAATAAAAAATTCAAAGGAAATTCAGAACAAATCCTTAAAAAACAGCCTTACAGCACACAAAATCATCCAAATTCACAGACCCATTATAACTCCAAAAACCCACAAAAAAACAGAACCCCATTTCGATCAAAGAACAAAAAGAACAAAAACCTAGTCGCCATTTTGGATCAGTGACAAAAGAACACACAAAAACGAAGAACTGGGAGTTTTTTTCCCCCTTTTTCCTGTTGAAAAATTGTTGGATATTTTTGGGAAAATAGGCTGACCTGAACTGAGAGACCCTTCTGTGTGTTATGCAGGTGGAGGCGACAAGTGTCTCTAGCAGAGATCTGAGGTTATATGGAAGAATTGGGAGCTTACTTTGCTGGGTTTTTTTCTTTTTTTTTAATAAAGATTTGGACTTTATTAATTTTTTAGTTTTTATGGGTGAAAATATAAAATTAATAAGCAAAGCGATCCATCTAGATTTCGCAACGTGGACCAATGGTTGAAGGTGTGAAAGCTGAGTGTGACAGCAGAGCCAAGGCAGAGCATCAAAGTGGAGGAATCTGGACCCTTGAAATTTAGCTTTCCGACATGGAGGACACGATCGTAAATAAACGACATTATTTGCTGCTTTTGCCCAATCAGAAGTTGCCAAATTGCCATATACGACATGACGTTTAGACTAAGAAACTGTTTTGGTTCTCTCTTCTTTTTGTTTTATTATTATTTTTTTTTTAATTTTGTAAAAATAAAATGAATTTGGATAATTATGAACATTTGGTTCTAAATTTTGACATTTTTACTCTTCAATTTTTTTTAAAAAATAAATATTAAGATTTAACAAAATCTTATCCATTTAATTAATGAAAATAAATAATATAATTTCAAAAGTTAGAATTTTGTTCTGTTCGGATAAAATCTTATAAAAATATAAATTTTAATATTGTAAGTAACCAAACAATTTTATTTAAAATGTCTTTTTAACAAATAATCTTTCTTTTTTTTACAAGTTATTCTATTATAATTTTAAAAATAAATTTGGGAATTAAAAAAAAATTTAACGGTTGTTAATTATTTTCATTAAAGTAAATTAGGAGTGAAAAGTAATAATAAATAAAGAAAAAGGGAAAAGTGTTGATTGTATGGAGAATCATGTTATTGTTGAATAGATATTATCTTTAGAATTTTACCTTTTTACCTTTTTAAGATAACTTATCACAAAAATGGGTAAATAATAAAAATTTTATGAGTAAGTTGACACGTGCTCCCAAAGAAAGGAAGGCAGGATGCCACAGTCGCATACTTGCGATAGTGGGATAACGATGGTGCAAGACTTGTTTGAACCTAGTGAATAAGTCAACCGTGTGAAGATCAAATTTAAAAAACAATCTTGACGTTTGATCAAGTCTCGAGTCACATTTGACAGAAAATGTTTCATACTACATGAGCGAGGAAATGTATTGAAATTTTTTTGAAAGAAAACAACGTTATAGCATATAACCCAAGTAGGTAGAATTGAGAATAGTCCATCCCCCTATATTACATTTTAGGATATATTAGCCCTGGCGGGTGTAGACATGATTTTGGTGAATGATCGTACACCCCCATATTGACATGATTGGGAGAGAAAAGACCTAGTAAAATGGGTTTGAACAAACATACGACCACAACTTGTCTTGGACAAGTATGACCAGGACATTCGACACACGGCCATAGACTATGTTTTGGATAAGTATGACCGTGACATCCTCCACCACTTGATTTGTTGATGGCTTTGTCAAATAACTCTTCACAAACTCGACGATGTAGGAAGAGACTAACTTTTGATCTCTCTACTAAAACGAGTTATATATTCTTAATGAGTCTCTTTTAACCCTTATTTAATAGTGAGCAAGTGAGTTGTTGATTTTCAAGGGATTTATTTTAATCTTTTATAACCAATATGTTATTGCACCTACCGAGATAAAAGAGAAAACTCTACATTTTATTGCATAATGTACTCCACGTTGTTTCATCCATGATCGATATGTATCTAGATATTCAATTAGAACTTTAGTGGGAGTTTTCACAGTCAAAATGGTGTTAGATGAAGGATTCACTTACTCCGACAGAGAATCAAGGCTTGCTACTTGTTTTTCTTGATCGCACCAATATGACGTTCTATGAGTATTTAAGTCATACATGTAATAGCGACCAAGTCGAACTTAAAAAAAAAATAAAAAAAAAAATACGCATCACATTCTATTCCTTGGGTCGGCTCTCAGGTGGATTTTTTGTAATAGAAATAATATCTTCCTTTGTCATTCAGTTCTTCATCAAAATGATCTTCGTTAAAGGCATAATGACATTGATGTGCAAGTTTCTTGGTTGAATACTCTCAACCTCGACAGACAATATCAATTGTTGATGCAAAAAACAAGTCAAAAGAAAATGTATCTAATGTAGATTCGACCTATACTATACGTGGTTTTGTCAAATTTCTATTGGTGTCCTCCATCCTTTTAGATTTGATTGTATTTTCCAAAATCACTATAAATGATGACACATGTGTTGCCTATATTGAATTGAAAATGATTTTTTTTTCTAACAAAGTATTTTGTTTATTTAAAAATAAATAAAAATAAATACTCCCTGCAATAATCATTAGTTTTTTTTTTTTTTTTTAATTCATCCTATCAATATTAGTTATTTTTGTTATTCAAAATTACAAATAAATGAATAGATAGATATATAGATAATTTGAGGGTGATATAAAGCAAAATGGTGGTGACTTGAATGCTTATCTAAGTAAAGTTTGAAAAAATGATATTCAAACATTTTTATACTAATATACTAATTTTGAAACGCTTATGAAATGTCAATGATAATATTTAAAACTTTGAAACATTTATAAAATGTCAATAGTAATGTTTATAACTTTTTAAAAAATCCAAGATTCCAGAATTCAAATTCGGCATCTAATGCCTTCAACGTTCCGATGTGAACGTGTTCACATTATCAATTCAATGCCTTCAACGTTCCGATGTGTTGACATGTTTAACCCTCAAATTTCTATAATTATTTCTATAATTGAGCTGCAGAAAAGGAAGGTGTATCATGTTAAAATTATTTATAGTCTTTCTTGGCCATTTTAAGATCACACGACATCGAGGGCAAAATTTTCCATTAGGCCGTGTTACTTTCATTAGTCTCACACATGGCGAGCTCTGATCACTACTTGTTGTGGTGGGCGCACACCTTGTAGGCTTAATCAAAGCTTATATTAATGGCAACATGGATATCATTTTCTCATCCTCATTTTTTAGACTCCTTCGTTTACCCATCTCTTTAATCATTGGGATATTCTTTGATTTCCTTTTTTTTTTTTTTTTTTTTTGAAGTAAATAAATCAATTTCTCTCAATTGTGAAGTTCTCCATCAAACTCTCCAAAAAAAAAAAAAAAAAAAAACCCACACAGAAACCCTCTTGAAAGATCAAAGACATTCAAGAGAAGGATTTAAAACAAAAACTATGAACCAGAGAATTAAGATCTAGAGAGGAACTCGAACACATGGTGATGATGATGACTCATATTAGGACAGATACAAATCAATCATTCAAATGTGGGAAGAAAACAAGTAGATAGTTGATTCATAAACCCTAAACCATAAACCCTAAACCCTAAACAAAGTAATTGAGTAGAATCAATAGGGCAGCAATTCCTTTCGGGATGAGAAAGGTTTGAACCGAAATGAAATGGGTATGAATTCCGAGTTCAGTCACTCGAGATCTGTCTACTAACTTCCTCCTCTATTGCTTAACCCAAATTCAATCCGCGATCGATCCAAAATTTTCAATTTTTCAAAGATTCAACCCAACTCCACCCAAGAAACCAAATTCAACTTTACCCATTATCCAGAAAATAGGTGGAAGTGATGCAAGGCAGAATTACACAAGTTCAAAAGCAGCATTTAAGAGTATAAAGACAAAAATAGAAGACCATGAAAGTTCCAGGAATAAAATAAGACATAATCATATGTATATAGATCTAAATAAGTAGACTAGATTTCATTCTATTGAAATCTTCTTTCCTTGATCCTAAAATGTTACCGCCAACCGGATAACTTAGCATACCACACTCTTCTTCATCCAAGCACAAAACTAAATAGAACATGTATTCAGTGCTTAAGCAGTGTGAACCATATTCAAACTAATTCTATTCAGTGTTGCCTAATGACTAATATATTACTCTACCAAGCAGGTTATCCAAACAAGAACAGATACTACATGATTATTTAGCTACAACATGGCAGAAAGAGATGTCTAAATGTCTCATAATATAAAAACTGAGCATAACTTAGTTGCCAAGTTCTAACAATGATCAAAATCAATCCTAGCCCAGAGAGGTCGAAATGATAGCCAAATTTCACATAAAAAGGAATCACTCATGATTCAACGATATCAGGAATAAGGGTTGAATAATCAATAAACATAAATCACAAGCAATTTCAAGAAAAAGAAGATAGCCCAAGTGGCGAAATGGAACAAAAACGCATCATAAAGCGAAACAAGCAGAAGGCGTTTTCCAATCAAAACCAACAGCTGAGCCCACGAACAAACACACAGTGACAGAACTTCGAAAGAAGTGTAATGCCATTCATTCAGACCGCTTTTCTAATCCATGTTTCCAATTAACTAAGAGCATTGTGATACCCAATAATATTATAGAAAAAGAGTAAAAACAATTACGATAAAACATCTAATTTTATCAGAAAACAGATAAAAGAGTTGCAACACAAAAAACTCATGTAAATTCAAAAGCATAAAAAGAACCGAAACAAAAAAACCACCACAACGAAGCCTTTTCCAAAACGCATATTTGATTCAACGGTAAGACTTCTGGAACCTCGCACGAGCTCCACGACCACCAAACTTCTTGGGCTCACAGCGTCGGGGATCAGCGACGAGCAAAGTCCTGTCGTACCTGACAAGGATATCCTTGATTTCCTTCTTACTCTGCTCGTCCACATATTTCTGATAGAACGCGACCAAAGCCTTAGCAATACTCTGACGAATGGCATAAATCTGCGAAGTGTGACCTCCACCCTTCACTCTGATACGCATGTCGACTCCCGAGAACCTGTGTCGTCCAAGGAGGAGGATTGGCTCGTAAGCCTTGAAACGCAGGATCTCCGGCTCGACAAGTTCGATTGGGCAGCCATTGATCTTAATCAAACCCCTACCGCGCTTGCAGTAGGTCACTGCCACCGCCGTCTTTTTACGGCCGAAACACTGAACCGACTCGATCGGAGCAGCCATTTTATCCGAGTTCTGGTACTTTACCTGGTTCGCCTCCTGCTAAAAACCCTAGAGCTCTGAGAGAGAGAGTCCTGAGAGTGGGCAAAGAAAAATCGAAGCGAACTATTTATATGGGAAGACAGATTAGGGCTTTGGGACGCTACACTATTGGGCCGAAAACGCACCGTTTTGCTCTTGCTCCAGTGGGCTTGGTTTTAAAATTGGGCTCAAACTCGTTAATAGTAATATATTGGGCCGAACTTTTGATCGCTGGGCCCGATATATCAACGGTCCAAAACCACCAGCCTCATAGTGTCCTCATCCAATGATTTGTCCACCTCAGCCCATTTTTAAAGAAACTTCCCTGTTTTATTAACCCAAAAAATTCATTGTTTTAGTTTTTTATTTGCTTTAATTCGTGACACGTGGCAATCACTAAACACGGCACGTGTCAAGGCTACGGGACACACGTTGTTCATACTTCAAACAATTCATCCAACTAAGCCAATAGTAGAACTACTCACATGATTGGCCTAGGCTGGAGCAACTAATTATTCTTGGTACTAGCCTGAATCGAGCCACCGTGTAGTCTAATTATTGAGGATAAAGAACTATTTTCCTCATCCAAATCAAGTCTACTCGTTCGTATTTAAAACTCTTGAAAATAAAATCATGGGTAATTAGTTTAGTATAATTTTGATCAAATATTTTAGGGTAATATAAGGTTGAGCAAAGATTACACAATGACATGCCTAATAAACATATAATATAATGTTGTAATGTATGTGAGAATTACTTATATAAATAAAAATATATGTTTATTATAATATTTTAAAAAATGAGATTATTCTTTCAAATTCACATGAGGATAATCATTATTACAATATGTAAACATTTATCCACCTTCCCATTAAGTCTTGCTAGTATGCAAATTGGCTTAATAGAAGAGTAAGAAGCTAAACATGAAATATCTCGAAATGTACCTTCTATTTCGAAGGAGTTCAAGTATATGCTCTCAAACTGAAAGTCGAATCTCATTAGAATAGAAAGAGATTAAGGACACGAAAGAAGAGGATATGCTATCTTAAACAATTTCTTCTAAGTATAAGTTCTATTTATATACTATAAATCCAACATGTGAGATCTCACCTCGGTTCGAGAGGGGAACGAAGCATTTTTTTATAAGGGTGTGGAAACCTCTCCTTCGTAGATGTGTTTTAAAACCTTTGAGGGGAAGCCTGAAAGGAAAAGCCTAAAGAGGATAATATCTTCTAGCGGTGGGCTTGGGTTGTTATAGATGATATCAGAGCCAGACATCAGGCGATGTGCTAGTGAGGAGGCTGAACCCCGAAGGAGGATAGACACGAGACGGTGTGTCAACAAGGACGTTGGGTTTCGAATGTGGGTGGATTGAAGGTCCCACATAGTTTAGAGAAAGGGAGTGTTAGCAAGGATGTTGGCCGAAAAGGGGGTGGATTGTGAGATCCCAGTAATTTTAAAAACCTCTCCCAAATAGAGACTTTTTAAAAACCTTAAACAAAAGCTCAGAAATATGAAAAGAGAAATAAATGCACTCAATAGTCCCCAAGATTCCGAGTTTTGCTAATATGTTCGCAATTGAAATACAAATCTGAAAAGAAATTTTCATAATGAAATGCAATGTAACGACCTAGATCCACCGCTAGCTGATATTGTCTTCTTTGAACTTTCCTTTTCGGACTTCCCATCAAGGTTTTAAAACGCGTCTGCTAGAGGAAGGTTTCCACACCCTTATAATGGTGGTTTGTTCTCCTCCCCAACCAATGTGGGACATCACAATCACCCCCCTTCGGAGCCTAGTGTCCTCGCTGGCACTCTTTCCTTCCTCCAATCGATGTGGGACCGCCCCCAAATCTACCCTATTTGGGGCCAGCGTTCTTATTGGCACACCGCCTCATGTCTACCCCCTTCGGGGAACAACGAGAAGGCTAGCACATCGTCCGATTTCTAGCTTTGATACCATTTGTAGCAACCCAGATCTACCGCTAGCAAATATTAAAGCCTTGAGGGAAAATTCGAAAGGAAAAGCCCAAAAAAAACAATATTTGATAGCGATAGATCTAGATCGTTACATGCAAATTTCAAATTAAGAGAAAAAAATGTGGTTCAATAGAATGTGGTCTACCATAGACATTTTGGATGATTCAAGATTCAAAATCATTTCCAAATAGGTTGGAAGTTTATCAGTATAGTAACTTTTAGAGCTTCAATTTAGTTTTAAAAAATGTGGTTGAACGACGTACGTAACCTACAAAATCATTTCTAGTCCGGGGAGGGTTAGATATGTAGTACGTCTTTATACACGGCCCACGTATGGGCACATGGACCCACTAGGGAGGCTCGTATGCGTATCCCCTAGGCCTTACTATGCGTTAGCAGAAACTCACGCAGCTAGAACCCATGAAAGGAAAGGTGCACGTATAATATCATGATGTACGAGTCTGCACTAATCCTAGCATGGAAGTATCCCGACGTACGTAACCTACAAAATGCATGAGGTTCTATAGTTTCAAATCATGGTATATTCTTATGATACAAATCATACTTCCATTCTTTTCGTGACATAATTTTCATATAATACATGCATACGTATACTTGGCATATCTTTCATGATTAACATACATGGTTTATCAATGTCGGATAAGCATAGCATATAATATATGTGGCATAACAGATGGAAGTACATGCATCATATAACATTCCTATCATAAAGTAATTTCATAGCATAGCATAATCAAACCATAGCATAACATCATAAAAATATAACACATACAGGGGTTATAGGGTACGTGTCATTCATACATCATGCAAGTCATCCAACTAAATCCGTGGGCATAACAGTAAAACCACTTATTTGGTTGGTCTAAACTAAAGTTACTATACTTCCTTAACGCTAGCTTGAATCTGTTCTTTGAAGTCCAGTTTCACACATTAATTGACCTAACTCGCCTAAAAACAACCATTAATTTAACTCTTCATATATGGGGAAGTAACTTAACGTAAATAAACACATAATATGCATGAGGTCTCGATTGTTTTCATCTTAAATTCATCATGTAATACAACCCCACGTATCCTTCACATATTGCTCTAAGTAGTATACATGCATAAGCATTCATACATTCATCATCAATAACATCATCTAGAGGTTGTACAGTATAAAAAATCCATCATCATAATGCAACGGGGCATCTCATGCGTTCACATCATCATAACATGATATATTGTTATATTATGCGCATTATCGTCATATATCTTATGTCATCATGTCATAATGCATCATCATCAAATTATCACCATAGTACATCATCATATCGTCATATCATACAATCATCATATCATAAAAAGTCACATCATCATCATACAAGGTCACATCGTCATCACATCATTACATCACATAATTTCACATCATCATCATAATATATAAGTCTACATGACACGTACAAGGGGCACTGAGACATGTGTCATCATACATTTATTGTAACGACCCGGGAAAGAAGAATATATATATATATATATATATATATATATATATATATATAATAAATAAATGAAAACGAAAAAAATAAATAAAACCCAGTCGCCGGAAAACCCACGAGCTTTCCGGCGACCGCCGAGTTTCGCGGAACCCACGCGAAACGACGGCCACAGCACGCCTAGCATCTTCAGAACACCTGCAAAGGGAGAAAAGAGAGAAAATTTTGAGAGAGAGAGAGAGATTTTGGACAAACGCCGGCGAGTGTCCAGTTTCTCCGACGAGCCCTCAAACCACCCTTAAACCGACACCAAACGACCTGTTACTACCATAAGAGAGATCCCTGACGAAAGCACAATAACTCAGGGTGCGTTTGTGTTATTTCGTAAGCGTCGTCGTCGGTAACCGAGGTCGGAAAATTAGGTTTCTTAATCGATTCTTAGATCTATGGCTTTTAGGAGCTTTTAGGCCGCGAAACTCCCAAAAAGGAAAGAAGGACGACGAACAAAGAGGAAAAGGGGAAGGAAGAGGACCGAAATAGGCAACGGAAACGCTGCGGGAAGAAGAGAGAAAGCTCGCCGAAAAATCGGCCAAAGTCGGGTAAGGAAGACGAGATCCACGGATCCGGGTCAACCCGAACCCAGAACCCGGGAGAGCCAGCCCGTTCCTCCCTTAGCCTCTGCCTTCGGCCCAGCCCAACTACAGCGGCCCAAACCTCAAACCGGCCCAGAAGCTACGGTTCAGTTGAACCAACCCAGACTAGACCCACGGTCCAATTGAGCCGGCCTGCAAACCAAACACTTGCGGCCCAGCCCAGTAAGCCGAGGCCCAACGTTTAGCCTTGGCCCAGTAGCCTTCCACAGCCCGCGACCCGAACCACAACCCGAACCGGACTGCGATCCGCGCTTCGACCCGACACTACCGCCCGACGTGGCTTTCTCTGCTGCTGCCACGTGTCACACAGCGGCGCGGCAGTCCCTCGGCGCAAACGGCTCGGCCTCCCTCCGGTGACGCTCCGGCGGCTCCTCCGGCGGCTCCAGCGGCTGTTCGGCTCGGCTCACCTATTTTTAGCCCGGTTTCCACTGTTTCGACCCTCCCGGATCTGTTTTCGGCCCCGATTAAGGTATCCGAGGCCGTTTTAGAACTATATTTCACATTTATTAAATTATAGGTAAATTAATTGTGAAATACTAACAGAAAGTGGTGAACGGTGTGGTAGGAAACAAACCCCGGCGACGTAGGAAGCAGCTCTCACGGAACGGGAGCTTACGTTTAGCTATTTAGGGAGTACTTCGGCCAAGGCCAACCAAGTAAGTGGCCTTACTATAGGATAGGCTAAATAAATTATATGATGCTTGATGATATGTGCTAGTATATACATATTTTGTTGAGTGACGCTTGATATGTTTGACACACGTTGTGGCATTATGATGAGCATGATGATTGCATGATTTTTACCTTAATATGATGATGTGTTCCATATTGAGCATGCTAGATGATGATGAGTGCCATATTGCATCATGTCGTTAGATCGACGTAGGACACAACCCTAAGAGCATGAAAATGATATTATTATAAATATCC